TCCACCTCTGTGGGTATGTCAGGAAGAGGATGTGGTGATCAAACTCTCATTTGTCTACAAATTCCTTAAATTCCTCCCAGGCAAATTGCAATCTGTTGTCTGTGAGTACAGTGCCTGAAATGCCATATTTGGCAAAGTGGCCCTTCAATTTGCCAATCACTGACTTGCATCTTGTAACAGGCAAAGCATCAACCTCCCATATTTCAATAGCAGTACACTGTAATCAAGTACTGCTTTTCCTTGAAGGTGAATAAGTCTGCTTCCACCTTTTCCCACTTTCAGGCGGGCAGCTCGTGTGGTAATAGAGTCTCTTTGTGCTGACAATTACCACACCCTTCTATCAAGGAGTGGAGTTGTATGTTCATTCCTGACCAGTGAACACATTCATGGGCCTGTCTAAAACAGCTGTCAATGTCCAGGTTTTTTTTTTGTGCAAGATCCCGACATAATGAGGCAGCTCTCTGTCCTCAATATATTAACTCATCTTTAATTTGAAAATATAGTTCTGCTCCTATCAGTACTTAGCTTTTGTCTTTTGGCCATCCTGCTAGTATCACTCTCTTGACTACTTTCGCAAAAAGAAAAGAAGTACTTGTGGCACCTTAGAGACTAACCATGAGCTCACGAAAGCTCATGCTCAAATAAATTGGTTAGTCTCTAAGGTGCCACAAGTACTCCTTTTCTCTTGACTACCTGCAACTGATGTTCTTTTCTTTCACCTATTTGGTTTCCATTAACTGTTGAGAGTGGGAGACAGTGCAGCGTATTAATTGATTCAATGTCCTTATCCCCTTCCCCCAACTTGCCAATGCTGGGTATATATGCCCTGCTCAAGGTGTGAGCCAGTGTCAATAATCATCCTGGATAACACTGGATCTCTGGCTGGTGGAACTGGAGGCACATCAATATGTGCTGCAATCTCTTTGGAGCACTAAGAAGAGGCTTGGCCATAGAATCATAGAATATTAGGGTTGGAAGAGTCCTCAGGAGGTCAGCTAGTCCAATCCCCTGCTCAAAGCAGGACCAACACCAACTAAATCATCCCAGCCAAGGCTTTGTCATGATTGCCTCTCGGGGGTTGTGGTATGATTGCACTATTACTGGGTGTCCATAGGAGTAGTGATGGAATCGCTGCATTCCAAATACAGAAGCCAGAAACTAGTTTTCTATTGGGCCTACCCTGGTTCAATCTCTGACAGGGTTCTGTTGGCATAAATGACTGGCTGCTCCTGCAAAAGAGCGATGTCCAATCCTTTCCCTGGTCCATCACACCAGAATATCAATGGCTCTCCTCACTGATAGTACATCAGGACAGGGGCATCCATTATGCGTAGGAAAGATAGGAAGTATGGCAAGAGACCACCCTGGCTTAACCAGGAGATCTTCAATGATCTGAAACTTAAAAGAGTCTTACAAAAAGTGGAAACTAGGTCAAATTACAAAGGATGAATATAAACAAATAACACAAGTATATAGAAACAAAATTAAAAAGGCCAAGGTACAAAAGGAGATTAACTTAGCTAGAGACATAAAGGGTAACAAGAAAACATTCTACAAATACATTAGAAGCAAGGGGAAGACCAAGGACAGGGTAGGCCTGTTACTTAATGAGGGGCTGGGGAACAATAACAGAAAATGTGGAGATGGCAGAAGTGCTAAATGACTTTTTTTGGTTTCAATTTTCACCAAAAAGGTTATTAGCGATTGGACATCTAACATAGTGAATGCCAGTGAAAATGAGGTAGGATCAGAGGGTAAAATAGGGAAAGAACAAGTTAAAAATTACATAGATTCTGGGTTTGGAAAGTTCTGGTGAGATATCAATTGTGGGCAGTAGATAGTGGCCAAGTCAGTAGCTTTGGATCCATACAGATGCTTCTTACCATCAACAGGCTGCTTACCTAGGCTGTACTGGCCTCAATAGGTGGTACGATACCACTGCGTCACAGACTTTCAAATCCTTGTGTACTGGGTTAAGTACTGCCATTGGAATTTTCCTTCATGGTAAATACACAGGGCTCCACTGTGGGGTCTACTTCCAGTTGTAGCTTTCCTTTAAAGCTCTCATCACTTTTGAAAACATCTCTATATGCTTTTTAAAATTGTCTCCATTGTCCAAGGGACTCATCCTTTTGCTTCTTGCACTGCATCTATAAAATTCTGATGCTGCACTATGATCTTGGTACCATCTGTTATTTTTTGGGTTAGTCATTATGAGGTCACATTTTCCTATGGGCTGCACTATGCTGTCATTGTACACTATTTGATTGTGCCTGCTGTTTGCAACGAGTGTGTTTGAGTCCAATTAAATCTGAGGAATCACATTGCAGGAGGTCCTACTATCCAGCTGAAATCACATAGTGTGTTTCTCTATTAACATTGTTGCACACATGGGGGGGCCGGCATTATCCCTTGTTGTTTTCTTGTCCTGACCGCCCAAACCTGATATGCTGTCGGAATTAAGGAGAGAATCATGATGTCATCTCTGCTGGCTGATGTGACATCCCCGTCTTATACAATCTGGACTGAATCTTTCTGAGACCTTCCTCTGCTCTTGCACACATCATTAAAATGGTTCAACTTGCCACATTCCTTGCATAGCTGTTCTAGTGCAGGGCACTACTCCTTTACCCACTCATGCTGTCTCCCAGAGTAAATGCATCTCATGTAGGTATGCAACTCTGTTGACCTGTTCTTCTTTATGTTTCATTTCATGTACTTCTGAGGGTGTTGTTCCTCCTGGGGCTTTCATCCTTTCTCTTGAGGCTTCCACTGTAAACCCCATATCTAAGCATCTGTCTAATGTGACAACACCTCCTCAGAGAAGCCACTCCCACAGATAATGATCCCAAGTGCCATACACTATCCTGTCCTGAATTAGGATGTCTATTAAGTCCCCACATTGCATGTAGCAGGCAGTGTGCATAAGGCACTAACACAGGGGTCTATCCCCTTCCCTTCGGATTGGTCTCTAGTGAAAAACCTGCGTCTCTCCAGAGTTTACTTCTACTTCTGGGAAGTGTAGGTCCCCAGGGCTCCTAGGACTGCTGTGAGGCTTGAGGCAATGGTGAGCTTCAGAGCAGTGCAGATCTCTCCACCCTGTTCCCCAAAAAGGTAAAATAACAGTTTTACATTCCAGCTGTTGTCCTCCAGCATGGTCAGATCTGGTACAATTTAAACTCCTTCATCCATTGGGTCCATTGCTGGGCTAGGTTTGTGTCTGCAAAATCCAGGGCTCCAATGGTCTGTAGACTGAGTTCCATGGCTCATGCTGCCAGATGCTGCACTGCAGAGAACTCACAGCTCAGACACTGTCACTATGTTTCATTCACAAAGAGAGATGCTGAATGCAGGTGTGATTCTAAGAGCCTGTCCCTTAATGCCCACTGGCAGAAAGCCCACTGTATTGTAACTCATATCAAGCCTACTATACTCACTACCCTCAAAACACTGTTGTCATAACATCTATCCAAAAAGTATTGTGTAAGGCATCATATGTAAACATGTAAACTGATCAGGAATATTATCGTGATATATGTACAGGTTGTGTATAAAGAGATGTATCTGTGCTGGAAAAATGTTCTTAAATGTGTTTGGAGGAAATGCATAAATCAAGCCTTATCTGTTCCACTCCAGCGCTAGTCCCTGTGTTGGGATATACATTACATATTGCCTGTAATTGTTTGCTTTTATAAATTTTTTTATTGTTTTTAATGTATTTTTAAATTAAAGGACCAGTTTACATTTTTTGGTTTTTAAATTTTTTTTTTTTAAATAGAGGACCTTGGTAAATAATTTTATTAATAATGACCTTTGTTACATTACATTTACATGACTTAATTGGGCCTTTTTTGGTTATACTTTAAAAAAATACATGTTTTTTAGTGGTTACCACACCAATACACCCATTGCCTAAATTAAACACTTTTGTGCCATTCGAGGCTAAATATTGCATGGTACATTGTTTGCTTGAATGGTTTAAATTACATTTTTTTAGTTGTGGGCACACACATTTGCTTTATCCCCACTTTTTACAATGTTTTGTTAATTTTACTCATTTATATATATGGGAGTTGGAAGACTAGATAAACCACATCATCTGCCACGGACTGAACTTCCCATCTGCTCTGGTGCAAAAGTATGCTAGAGACATCCATTCTTCACATACCCAAAGTTAAGACTAGCCTCCAAGGTAAATTCAATACAATGGATGTGATTTTCCACTTTGTTAAAACAGTTTTATATTGTTATAATTCAGTTAAAATCAAGGGAGTTCCACAGGCATAAAACTGGTGTTATGGAAAGCGAATCAGGTCTCTGTGTGTCTATTTTGTTTCCAACAACCTCTGAAAGCACATTGTGCTGCAGCTGCAGAGAGATTTTCAACCCAAGGAAAACTCAAAACTGGACTCTACCTTGTCCTACTGTAGATGAGGCTAAAGAATATTATCGCTAGATTCCCAGTGTACTAAACCTCATTACAAAGCACCTATGTCTGTTCAACATGGGTTTAAACTGCAATTTTGTCTGCACTGGAATCCAAAATAAAGTATTATAATTTTGTTATCACTAAATGGAATTGGCTTGACATATTAAGTCATAAACTTGCTGTATGCTCTACAGTTGGGGGTTTTTCATGCAGGTCCCCAATCCCATCACTGCCACCATGTCAAGGTTCCTTCCCCACTCTGAAGTCTAGGGTACAGATGTGGGGACCTGCATGAAAACCCCCCTAAGCTTATTTTTACCAGCTTAGGTTAAAACTTCCCCAAGGTACAAACTATTTTACCTTTTGTCCCTGGACTTTATTGCTGCCACCGCCAAGCGTCTAACAAATATAACAGGGAAAGAGCTGACTTGGAAACGTCTTTCCCCTCAAAATCCCCCCAAGCCCTACACCCCCTTTCCTGCGGAAGGCTTGATAAAAATCCTCACCAATTTGCATAGGTGAACACAGACTCAAACCCTTGGATTTTAAGAACAATGAAAAAGCAATCAGGTTCTTAAAAGAAGAATTTTAATTAAAGAAAAAGTAAAAGAATCACCTCAGTAAAATCAGGATGATAAATACCTTACAAGGTAATCAGATTCAAAACATAGAGAATCCCTCTAGGCAAAACCTTAAGTTACAAAAAGACACAAAAACAGGAATATACATTCCATTCAGCACAATTTATTTTATCAGCCATTTAAACAAAACAGAATCTAACACATATCTAACTAGATTGCTTATTAACCCTTTACAGGAGTTCTGATCTGCATTCCTGCTCTGGTCCTGGCAAAAGACAACACAGAGAGAACCCTTTGCCCCCCCCCCCCCCCAGCTTTGAAAGTATCTTGTCTCCTCATTGGTCATTTTGGTCAGGTGCCAGCGAGGTTATCTTAGCTTCTTAACCCTTTACAGGTGAAAGGGTTTTTCCTTTGGCCAGGAGGGATTTAAAGGTGTTTACCCTTCCCTTTATATTTATGACACGCCCCAATATGGCTGACCAACTACCGTATACCTGTCATACATAAACTCTTTATACAATGCTGCAATACAAACCAGTTATGTCTGGGTGTATTATGATGAACGTCACAGGGTGTATCGCTTATTCTTGTACATGTTTACAGAGACTATCAGTACCCATTAGACAAGTTTGATATTCAGTTGCCAATTAGTCAAGTATACAGTTTTGAGAGTTAAAATCAACACTGAAAAGAATGGCCTAAGGGTCATGTCATGTAAACTCAAGGAGAATTAGGCAAATGATAAATATGGGTGAAAAATCTGCAACTTTCTTATTCACATGAAAGTTCTAATAGAACTAATTTCATACATTTGGCTTACTCACTTGAGTGAAAGTTGCAGGATCAATCCCAATACCAGCAATCATTCCAGCCTCAAACACTGTATATAATACTAGATTTTCACTGAAAACTGAAGAGTATGTGTAGGATAGCAATAGCTGCATTTGGAAACTAGAAAAATGTGAACAATTCTGTAATTCATGTCAGAGTATATGCACCTATACAGTTAGCATATACATCTCACAGAAAACAATTAATATGTGCACTTTTAATATAGTCTGGTAAATATGTAATTGTATTGCCACTCACTCTGTTTTGCTGCTGATTTAGATAAAGAATGCCTACATACATGTTCTGAGACATAATAGGAGTTAATGGGACAGGTCTGTTAACATGTAGAAAGCATAGGGTCTGTAACATTATTTAGGTCTGTGAGTGGTTTTGATTAACCAAACTGTTTATACACGCTAAACATGAACGGATGAGAAAAAGCTGCAGCAGCAGTGAGAAAGAAACTTCCTAAATAAAAATGACAGATTATATCCCTTTCACTAACAGCAAGTTGACGTAAAATGAATACTATTCTGGGATTCTTTTCCAACAGTTGTCTGTGTCTGAGTTTCAAACACATTTGTATGCTGCTCTTTGTTAACAGCAGTAAATACCTCATGGTTGCCAGGAATACCTTATTTTGCATTGATTCTGCCTAGTTTTAGCACTGCACATTCCTTCTGTGGATAAAGGAAGTTAGAAATATTGCAAATGACAGTTTGTGGAGATCCTGCTCTCTGACCTTTATCTGCATTTAACAACAGCTTAAATTCCACATTTTGTTCAGCATAGTAATCACACAAAAGTCTTCTAAATAGGCCCCTAGAAGCTGCTATTCAATATCTGAGAGTTGCTCCTATTGTAGGAGCATTTTCTCCCACATTTGGTTGGTTTAGGAGAAAAGTATTACTACATTTTTAGGTTTAGTCTATAGATTTTTTTCCCTTTTAAAACTTTTAATGAGGGGTAGAAATGGTAATAGTCTGTTGTGTATTTTCTTTCTATGGCTTTCTGCCAACTATAGATAAGTCAACAGTCAAAACACTAACAAGTTTTTCTGTTAATAATAAGGATAATTTGAGAAGTAGCTTGAAAAATGTGAGTGTTTCTGTAACATTGAAGTAAATCTCTTATCTGTCCAACAAACATTTATATAGAAAGCAGCTATTTCTAGCTATGTTAATGTCTTATTTATATAGCTTGTATCCATACCCTTCCTTGAATATATCTGGAAGTAATACATTTGTTAATAATGTTAAGCACTGAACACGTTTAATAAGCAGATAAAATGAGCTAAATAAGGAGACTATCAAAATTTTATTATACAATTAGTTTTTTTCCTTATTAAACTAGTGTTATGTATGAGTTATACTGACTATTTAGATTGTGTAGAAAGAGATTCAGAGATTCAGTGAGGAATTTTGAGAGATATGTAAATAATTTTACATTATGTAAATGGAAATATTGTAATATGTAGTTTGATATATGAAAATATAAACAATGCTGAAAATATTAGGTAATTCTAGACAGCAAAACAATTAAAGAAAATTTGATATTTTGAATTATTTTTTGTAATTTGGAAATCAAGTTTTAAATCTAAAATAAAGAAATACATGAAACAAAAGAACCTATCAATTCATTTTTCATAAATGGAAAGGACTGACTCTCCATGGGAAAAGGTTCTTAGCATAATCCTGGAGACCACTGGGTAAATTACTTCAAAATGGATGCACAATAAGGGAAGGAGTGATCTCAGTAATCACTGTCCTCAAAGAGCTGGGGTGAAAATCGAGGACAGATTTTCTTCCATGGGGCACAGCCCTACCAGTTTCCTGGAGCACCAAGACATCAGAAGTACTACTGCCCCCCCTTCACTGTCTACATCTGTTCAATGTAGACAAGAGGGATGGTCTATTGTGACTATTGGGCCTACAAAGTGTACATCTATTGTGAGCTCAAATGTATAGTGTATATAAAAATTCATTAGATGTTACAATAACCATGAAAAATAGGTCAAATAATTTACGACACTGAATGTTTAACAAGTGCAAGAGAAGCAGGCAAAGAAGCTGGATGAGTCTAAACCAAAAAGGCCATGTTGATATACAACAAGTACTGTTGGAGTTATGCTTGGTGAAAACAGATTATATGGAACCAGAAGTTAATAGACTAAAATTAATGTGACAGATATTAGGCCTAGTTGGTGAACAAAATAGTGAGGGGGATGAACTATGGCACCCACTTTTTCCCTTTTGGGGTTTCCTAAAAAGAGACTTTGAAAAATAATCAGTTCAGTTCAGCTCTCCCTCTCATCCCACCTTACATCCCCCCAGCTCATCCCCCAACCTACCAACACTGCAACGCATCTTGACTTATCTAAAAGACTTTCTTCCTGAGAGGAAGGCTCTCTGGCCTTGCTCTTGTTTAAGGAACTTTGTTTTCATCTGTGAGTGCTGAAAATCATCACACTATCATGACATCCAGTCCTCAGTTCAGCAATGGGGATATCTAATTAGCAGCACCACAAAGGCATGTATTTCCTTCCCTTGTTGTGTTATTTTCTGCCCCAGTGTTTCTTTCCTCCTGTTCTATCTCACTCTCTTGTCTTTTCATTGACATTTCCTCAGACACCTTAAAAACATTAAAGTCAAGATTCCTGATGTGTGGCTCCTGGTTTAGCTGTATCTTTCTCCACCAAGCATCTATACTATCTCATTGAGAGACACCACTGCATCCTCCTAAGAAGCTATCTGATCTGGAAATTATCTGAAGTTATTACCCCCTTTTGGCACTCTCTGAAAGAAACAAACAGAACCATTAAAAGGCCAGGTGCTAGTCTGTCATCCCTTCTGATCAATATATGCATGGGACCATTAGCGGAATGTGAAGAGATGACTTCCCCAGTGTTTTAAAAGACAGTCTACATGCTGTGTGGAGTCACATTTCATTCCCATCCTGTGATCTGGTTTTATTAACAAAGAGATAACATAGTTCATCTCAAGCCATCTCCCTATGCTTGGCTGCATCTAGGATCCTTATCTCAGGACACCTAGACCAGAATCTAGAGCTTCTTTGCTTCAAATTCTAGCTCCCTCATATAAAATCTCCCAGCAGGATCAATATCTTCAAGGACAAATCTACTGGAGTATTTCCCATTCCTCTTTAAAAGGGCTAGTGAGGCAACATGGACTCCAATATGCAGAAAAAATACAGCTTTATAGCATTAGCTTTTCTGACCAGCTGGTGTAATTGAGTGACTCGGATAGTATCTAATAGCTTTGGAGAAGTGTACGCAGGCTAACACTCACTGAATGGGTATACCTGCTGTTTGTTACACAGGCTTGCAACCTAAGGGTTTTTGTTGGAAGTTCAAGTAGCAGTGTTTCCCAATAATGCTTTTTATTGTTTCCTCTTTGCAAAAAGGTTGTGACCTTTCATTTTTAGATACAGACCTTCGTAGGGTCGTCCATGCCATTTTCATCTTAAAGTTGGATTATTGTAATGTGCTGTACAAGAGGCTACATCTTCAAACAATCCAGAAATTAGCTATTGCAGATTGTGACTGCCCATTTATTAATCAGTACTGCATTACTCCTGTACACTGGCTACTGACTGATTTATAGGTGGATTATAAGGCATTGGTTCTAACCTGTAAATCCTTAAGTGAAATTGACTATAGCTACCTGTGTCATTGCTGCTCTCCTTACATGATTCTGTAGCAGTTGTGAACAGCCAAGACCCAAAGCAGTAGTTGTTCTTGATGTGGGGCCCTTGACTCTGGAATTCACTTTCCCACACAGTTTGCTTGAGTCCAGATTTGAGGACCTTCAGAGTATGCTGCAAGACTTTACCCAGATTTTACTGGGGAGGGAGTGGGTGCTGAAATATATTTTAGAACTGATATCTAAGATTGTTCTTTGTTGGCATGGAGACAATTTGTACGTTATTTACTTATTATTTTAAGTTTTGCACATACACTGAACAATTTGTGGTTGGCAGATTTTAAAAAATGGCCTAAATAATTTGTCACCCCAATACTAACAAAGACCCAACATTTCAGCCCACTGGGATTTTTCCTTTCCATCAGTCATAATCATATGCAGTTCTCTCAGAATAAATGGTGATGAACAAACATGGCAATACCATTGGATAACGTGAATACTCTAAAACTGCCCTCCTTGCAGAATTCTAAGTATTTCTTTATTGGAAATAGTGTAAGACTGCCTCATGTGTACTTCGCAGTGTGGTAGTACTGGAAAAACTGCAAGAATGGCAGGCCTCAGTTTTTACTATCCAGTTATGCTGAGCTTGCAATTTACACAGAGGCAATAATCTACATGCTTTGGTCCACTCTGCTTCCTTTGCATGGTTCAAGAGGCGTAAAGGTAGATGAACCTTCAAGATCACTCCAGGTGGAAATACTCCCAGTATAAGGGATTCCCAGCAGATATAGAGCCAGCAGAGCCGTCTACATTTTCACCCTGCAGCTCTTGCTATAGTGGATGTCGGAGGCAAGGAGAGGCCTGCCAGTTGAGGTGGAGTGGTTGGAGTGGAAAGCACTTCAAAAGATCAAAGACAGCCAGTGCAGTTTGGAACAGCCACAAGCACTCTAAATTGTGCAGAGAATAAGAGAGTTGTAACCAGTTCCTTGATAATCTCTCCTTTCTCTGCTGCACCCAGTATAAAATGGACACAGAAGAGAATCTGGTCAATTGTCTAGTGAGCGCAGAGCTGGGATACAAGAATCACTGAGTTGAAGTTCCAGTTGTGACACTCCTCCGTGGCCTGGGACATCTCTCTCTGGCTCAGTTTTCCATTTGTACAATGGGACAATAATACTTTTCATGAAACCTCTACAAAGCCAAAAGGAGTTGAAGAGTGTGCAAATTAGTGCAGAATTTGTCCCTAATGCATTAAAATGAGCAACGTTCTTCATATAATCACAAAGGCCTAGATTTTTAAGATATTTTGGCATTGCTGTGCTCAGCATTGAGATGCCTAACTCATTTACTGTAAATGGGATTTAAGCTTCTAAATGCCAATATCCCTTTTGAAAATGAGATTTAGGAGCTACAATGCTGAGCACAGCAACTATTAAAAACCTTTAAAACTCTGGGACAAAGGGACCAGCTACAACTGTGGGAGAACAAGATATTTGCATTTCCTACATTTTTAATTTAAATAACAATTTACATTAATCTGGCTATGTCTGCATTGCACAGGGCAACATAACAAGTGGCCCATAAACTGGTTAAATGATTTGCCCAATGACATAAAATTAATTTATGACACAGTTAAGACGAGAAGTCATGAGTGGCTTCCTAGTCCTGTGTCCAATCTACTAGACCATGCTGCCTCCCTTAATGTTGGATTTCTTAGGTGCTTTATGTGCAAAAAGGAAGGAAACACTCAGTTCTTTTCATTTTTAAAAACAGTCTACTTTAAAAAGTTTACTTTAACTTTTTCTTATTTGGGCTTCTAGTAAGGGGCATTTATCTTTTGAATGGTAGGGGGAAAGAGGTATGGGGAGATATGATTTGTATCAGTTGCTGGAAACAGCTGTTTATTATAATTTAGCACTATGTGTCAAGATATCTAGATGATAGACAAACTATAAATGAAGGAAATAAAAAATAAAGCATTAATTTTCCTGCAGAGCTGTCAGTATTTCAATTACAGAAAAAACACAATAACTCTCTCTGCTTGTGCTACTTACAATTTGGGAGCCTCACTCCTCCCACTTCCTCATCTCTTTAGCACCCAAATTCTCAACCTTTAACTACAAATACAATAACAATAATTACCCTGTCACTGGACACTATGCCAACATGCTGATGAGAATGGGAAGGGAGAACTACTCTCCACTTCTTTACATAATGCTGTAAATTGCAGGGCCTGAATGGACTTTGCTAAAAATCTTAGTACGCTATTGAGCAAGTCCAGAAATTATTTGTTTACAAATGTATAACTATAGATATTTTTTTCATATGTAACTAAGAGACTTCCTCCTCATGGATATCAAGTTAAAATTTTTTTGTGCAGTTGTTTTTGATCCATCTAACTTAGACATAACAAAGTTGAATAGATTTTTTTAGGCTTCCAACAATAGAACAATAACTTCCTGACTGAAAGCAAACAGGGACATTTTCAGTTCCAAAGGAGAACTTTTCACTGCTCATGTGAGTATTAGCTAATAGAACTTGACTGCCACATGGGCCTTTCTTCACCTGCAGCTGAGATCACTGCCTCCTTATTGAGGATATTACAAGCAAAAGGAGGTTTCGTAGAGGACACTGCTGTAACAGCACTGCTCCCTAATCTGCTCTCCAAATATGTCTGGAAGCACTGTCATCCCTATTGAGGATATCAACAGGGCAGGATGCTTTAAACAAAGGACTGCTATGTGAACAAGCCTGTATTTCCTTTTTGATGCTTATAATTTTCAGCTGTTAGCTTTATTTGTATAAAATGCCTATCTTATAATCTTAACTATTTTGTCCTATTTAAAGATGTTCTATAATTTGTAGATTTAACATTTATTTGATACAGTTATCTATGAAAGGTATTTTTAAGGAAGGATCAAGGTTTCCTATTTTTTAATGTAACATTATTGGAGTTCCAGGGATTTTTTGTTTTTAATATTTGTGTGTTGTGTAACTTCATCTGTGTTTTTTATATTTACTTTGGCATTACAAGAGAGACTTGTTATCTTGGCAAAAATGAGTCAGAGAGAATACAGGTCATCTGAGAAGATAAAGCAACAGAAGCAACTTGATCAATATATTAAATTGAAAATTAGCAGTGAAGATAAAGATTCCTCAGTGACTAATTTATTGTCAGAGGCTGTGGTCCGCACCACATGCGGATCTAGCCTGCATACAGGTTTAGGCTCTGTGTCTTCTCAGAAAGTGGACATAACATGAAGGACTTTACAACCAGCTTTTTAAAATGATGAATAAAAAACTAGCAGTTGTATTCCCAAGAATTAAAAAACCTGGAAATACTAATAGAACCACTGAAAAGGGATCAATTATCCTATTAAAGAACAGGACCAAATTAAGATGTATTTGAATAGCTCTAAAATATTAGCAGGCACATTAAGATAATACTTTATTACATCATAGGTTGGGGTCTCTGGAGAATATGTCAAGACTCTCCAACCATCATATTTTAGGATTAGAAAAAGAAACAGAGGGTTATGATCCTTCTGTTCCTTTACCTGAAGAATTATTGGGGGAGTAGTTTAATCCACTATTAAGTATACAACGTGCTTTTGAATGACTTCCTCTTCCATGCACACTTGTGAAGCAAAAAGGGCACTGGGAACAAAAGGACATTTTCTGGTTGCTTTTAACATGTAGCAGATTGAAATGAACATTTATATTGTCTTAAAAAGAAGATTAGTTATCAAGAAACACACAGAGTTATAATGTTTTCAGATAGTGAAAAAGAAACAAGTCATAAGCAGAACACATTTATAAAATAGACACACACATTGCAATATTTTATCCTACGAGACTGAGATACTTCTGGGACTAACCAAAATCACCTTGATTTTGATAAGGTTTGAAAGGTTTTTGTTTCAAAGCATCCTATATCAATTTTAGTTGAGGGAAAATCTTTGGAAGCAGTAACTTTGATCTTACTAAAAATCCTTATTTTCCTGAATCTTCAGCAGCAAAATCCTAGATATAAAATAAAGTTTGGACATATGTATTTAAGAAATGGAAAATTTTTCCCGTTGGAATTATGTAACATTATGTAACATGCCTTACTAACAGCACCATAATAGTTTATTTAACTATTAACAGATGTGCTGTAAATTATTTTGTCTTTGTGATTGCTCTAATTTTGTTAGTATTATTACTAGTGACAGTAAATAAGATTATTTTATAGCATTTGTTTTTTTAAAAATTGATAAAATGAAGAGAGGAATACAAAAGTCACATGTAACCTTAGCATTCATACACCAAACAACAATACAAGGGATGATTTCAGACTCCACTAATCTATGACTCAGCAAGATTTGGGGCATCCCCCAAATCTTCAGCCTGCTACTTCTCTGAACCCCCTCTTCTGCTGTCACACACACAGAGCTGGCAGTGTGTGTTCTGCACAATAGCTGAATCAGTCAAATATTGAAAGACTGAAGGAGTAGCATTATGGACCTAAGATGCGTCCCCTTATCAGTAGGCTACGTTGTCTCCTGCTCATTAAGGTCCTGTTCCTACATGTGCTTAACTTTACAAACGTGAATTGTGCCAACAAAGTCAATGGGCCTACTCATGTATAAAGTTAAGTATGTGCATAATTGTTTTCAGGATTGGGTCTAAATTGCTAATGTTACTCACTGAAACCGGTTTCAGAGTGGTAGCCATGTTAATCTGTATCAGCAAAAACAACGAGGAGTCCTTGTGGCACCTTACAGACTAACAAATTTATTTGGGCATAAGCTTTTGTGGGCTAGAACCCACTTCATTTGATGCATGGAGTGAAAAATACAGGAGCAGGTATAAATACATGAAAAGATGGGAGCTGCCTTACCAAGTGTGAGTTCAGTCTAACGAGACAATTCAAGGGAGGAGTAACAGTAGGGGGAAATTAGTATGGAGGAAATTAGGTTTACACACCACACAACAAAAACACCAACTCAGGAACCAAACCCTGCAACAAACCCCGGTGCCAACTCTGTCCACATATCTATTTAAGGGACACCGTCATAGGACCTAACCACATCAGCCACACCAGCAGGGGTTCGTTCACCTGCACATCTACCAATGTGATATATGCCACCATGTGCCAGCAATGCCTCTCTGCAATGTACATTGGCCAAACCGGACAGTCTTTATGCAAAAGAATAAATGGACACAAATCTGACATCAGGAATTATAATATTCAAAAACGAGTAGAACACTTCAATCTCCCCGATCACTCAATAACAGACCTAAAAATGGCAATTCTTCAACAAAAAAACTTCAAAAACAGACTCCAACGTGAAACTGCAGAACTGGAATTAATTTGCAAACAGGACACTATCAAATTAGGCCTGAATAAAGACTGGGGGTAGTTGGGTCATTATAAAACCTAAACCTAATTTCCCCCTACTGTTACTCACATCTTCTTGTCGACTGTTTGAAATGGGCCATTCTTATTATCACTACAAAAGTTATTTTTCCTCAGTTGGTATCCTACTGTTAATTGAATTGTCTTGTTAGACTGACCTCACACGTGGTACGGCAACTTCCATCTTTGCACATATTTATACCTGCTCCTGTATTTTCCACTCCATGCATCTGATGAAGTGGGTTCTAGCCAACAAAAGCTTATGCCCAAATACATGTTAGTCTCTAAGGTGCCACAAGAATGCCTCATTGTTTTTACTGCAACCAGAAGTTCCAGAATTAAATCCTACCTTAAATGATCTAAAAGTATTTAAAATATTTAATAAGCATCTAAATTTCATTTGGATGAACAAACAATCCAAACTGCATAAAAAGGAGGGAGCTCAGTGCCCTCTACCCAAAACATATTCACAGCTTGTCCTGGAGATGTGACAGACAGAAGCACTTTGGAAATTGGCTCCACCAGATGTTTATCAGAAGTGAATTTGTATTATTACTATTAATTGGGTTTATTGCAGTAGTGCCTACAGACCAACCAAGATGGGAACCCTATTGTGCCAGGCATTGTACAAACAAAGAGTAGTAGACAGTCTCTGCCCTGAAGAGTTTACAGACTAAATAGACACAACAGACACAGGGTGGGGGAATGGCTATAACGCACTAAGCTGAGTGAACAATGTGATGGCAGTAAATGTTATGTTAGTTCCTTTTTCTGTGGGTGTGGGATTAAT